CCCCCCCCCCCTCCCCCCCCCCCCCCCCCCCCCCCAGTACACATACTTTATGAGCGGTCCCTAACTACAAGTTATGTTAACTAAGCCAATATGGCCTTTATAATAACGAAAGATTTCCTTTAAGGTCATGCATGTCATACGCGGTCTTGTCGCATAATGTCATGCATGCTCGCAACTTCTGACATATAAAATGAGCCATACATTATCGGACAAAAAACCTGTTAGTCAGCATGTCATTGTCAGCATGGCTCGATGTTAATTCTGTCGACATTTTTGTTCCCTTTTTTTTCATTTTTCATGTTATGTAAAGTGTCGACAAAAAGCGAGTCATTTTCACAATTTCTATGTAACAACTTCTTTGATAACGTGCATTTGCATCTGAAATTGCGTGCAATTGCATCTGAAGTTGCATGGCTGTTAGTGTTAATCCAGTTTATAATCTTCGAAATCGAAGCACGGGAAGTCGGTCTGGAGCGTTTTTGGAACAACTTCATTTACTGCATAACGTGACATTACCTCATGACATGGCATCTCGATGCACTCGATAACCTTTGAAACGAGCTCTTTCACCAGTTTAGACTTGTTCCATTTCGCCACAAAACGGACACCATATGCACTGCAAAGCTGTTGTAATTATGTCTTCTTGTACAAATGGATCATACCTTTATCGTGAATTTGGTTAATCAAAGCCAAAAGGCAGACGTGGGACGATCGTTTCGAAGGGCTTCGATCATTTTCAATCGCCTTCAATTCAATTTTCATTTGCTTTTCTTTAGCCTTTCCTTTTCTGGCCAAAACGGCTTTCCGATGTGCCAAAGTCTTCTTTAAGTGAAAATCTCGACGAAAATCTCTTAAAAGCTGCCCACAGCCCATTTTCAAATATCGCTCGATGACTTCTTCAAAGATTTTCATACCAAAACCTTAAGAAATAAAGGAATACTGAATGATTTTCCATGCAGGATTGCGTGATCCTTACACTCGCCTGCGGCTCGAATATTTTTACGCTTTCCGAAAGTCGAGCGACATCACAAGTGCATGGATCATGCAATCCTGCATGGAAAACCATTTGGTAATTGTTTTATAAAATATAACTACAGTGAAACAATGACATTTTGAGAATCCCGGGTAAGTCCCACAAAGGCATTTTAATTCCTCGTGCAGGATAGCCTGATCCTGCACGGCTATTTACTAATCAAATTGTGTGTTTCACTGTAGTTATTATATAATGCGTAATTCTAGTCTAATGTGAAAATGTTTTGCATTCGCGCAAAAGGCGTGGCGATATTATGTCCCTCAATACAACCTAGACTAGAAGTTCAGATTTGATTACTACTACCGCTACCATTAACGGACCATTAACAAATCAAATACGTTGATATACCCGATTAACCAATCAGATACGTACTAAAGCAGTGAGAAATATAGTGGTATAGCGGCAGTGGAAATCAAATCTGAACCTGATCCTTTCGTGGTCATCTAAACATCATAAATGGAATTATCTAAAATTACATACGATAGCGACGATCGAACAATATAAAATCACCTCGGTCAGAAGGTTCCTAATTCCTATGATTATGCTGGTATTTATTTTTATAATTACCTTTTCTTCTTCCAACTCAATGTCAAACAAACCAGTAAATTTATTTTTTCATCTTTCATTATTTAGAACACTTTTGATGGATTCGTCGACCATATCACCTTTCAGTAATGACAGCCTTTGGAAATTTATTAGATCTACTCGTTCCTGTTCTAAAAGCGTGAAAAACTCGTGTGCGCTGTCTGTAATATGAAGCAAACCTCTCTCCCTGTACTGACGCGACTCAGTTACACTCAGAGTCTGGGGGTAGGCAGTGGTCTTTTCCAGAACTTCATGCGGTGTTATTATGTTGTCTTACAATAGATCCAACATTTTCATTTCTTTCTCTTTTATTATCAACCTTTCTCTTTTATTATTGGCTTCCGAATTCTTGTTGGCCATAATATACCTTCAACCTTTGTTGAGACATTTGCGAACTGCCCACGCACCATATTGTTGATGGCATATCTCGCCGCAGCATTGATCTGTACGATTAGTAGTTGCTGATGTGAGGAATGTCTCCATGGTAAACGTAGATAGTGGGGTTGACAATTCGGTTTCAAAATGTGGTATCAAACAAAGCAGGACATCTTCAAGCTTGCATGTCGCAGTTCCTTCAGTTGTTTTGAAAAACTCCTCTCCTTCAAATGTTTCATGACTTTCATCAGTAACATCAGTTTCGTCCTTGTCACTTTCAATTGATTGAATCTCTTCCTGGAACATCATGACGCTGTCGCCGGCTACAAAATGACTTTTGTACAGAGGTCGATATTTGCAGCATGCATACGTCTCGGTCGGTTCTAAGCAGGTCACGTTTCTCGCAAGATTTACCAGTTCAGGTGGTGGAGGTAGCAAGAATTTACGGTGGAAATTAATTACTTGGAGTTTGTCAGATAGTTTCACCCGCGACATAGCAACGTACGTTTGACCGTGGACAAATTCCTGAGCACAATGGCCGACAGCAGCTTCCAATGTCAAGCTTTGTGATTTATGTACTGTTATTGCGTAGCAACGAAGGATTGGGAATTGTGTCCGACTTCCTTGAACTTTTCCATCACGAGCATATTTAAACCATGTTCGTCGACTTAAACTTACTGTGCCAGTCGTAGGAAAGTTAACGATAACTTTGTTCTCATCATCTGGATCCGAACCAATGAATTCTCCCTGATATCCATTTTTCAAATTGTCGTTGATGTTACATAGCAGCATAATCTTGCATCCAGGTTTCACAGCTAAAACTCTTGGTATACTTTTCTCCAGACTAGTTGTATGTCCAGTATCAATACTCTGGTATTGAATCAATTCACCAGGAAGACTTGCCAAGACAGTCCCATTATCGTGTTCCTCATGGATCTTCTTGAAATAAATATGGATTAGCTCGTTTCCATCTGGTGTTGTAATTTTTCTATCTATCTTATCTATTATATGTTGTAATTCTTCTTTCGAGCGTATTCCTTGGCTTCATCGCTACAATCACCGACCCGCAACATCTCCAGCAAATCCTTGAATGACGTTTCACATTCTGATTGTCTCAAAATTTTTGTCAGCTCGATACGATGTTGAAACACTTCATTAAAAATGTGAGACTCATAAATTGCTTTCCCGTTATCAAATACACTTGGTATTGGTTTTAAATGCCAGAAGTCGCCAACAAGAATCACTTGTATTCCTCCAAATGCGAAGTTATTATTTGAAAGCAAAAGGTGTATAATGTTTACCAGTTCCAAAATGCGTTTGCTTGTCATAGAAACCTCGTCCCAGATCAACACATTTGTTTCACCTAGTCGCTTTCTAATCTTTTCTTGCGTCAAAGATCCCTCCGCCAGCATTTCTGAAGGGAGTTCTGCAATTTGAAGGCCGTAAAATGAGTGGGACGTTTTGGCTTCGCCATCATAATTCTTACATGCAATCCCAGTAGAGCAAATTATTTCGCATTGCAAACACTTAGCCGAAAGTTCTTTCTTTATTTCTTGAACAGTTGTTGATTTTCCTACACTAGCTCTACCAAGTATGCAAATGTTGTAGCCTTTTTTAGCTAAATCAAAAATAGTTTGCTGTTCTTCTGTTAAACGTATAGGACTTTCCATTTACCAAATCTATTAATGATCAAACCTGAAAAAAACGTACGTTTAAGTAAATTTTATGTATGTATTTAAAATTTATATATTTAAAATAAATATCATATTATCATGTCAATTGATTTAAATTTGATTGAAACATTCACTCGTCCCATGAAATTTCTAACCAGGATGTTTTTTAGAGTACATACAGTTATAATAGCTTAGTTCTTATCAGTCTTTGGTTACAACAAATAGAAGGAATAATAAAATAAAATTTCAATTTTGTACCGTGATAACAAATTAAACATTGGTGTTTTGCAAGTAGGCCTTCCCCAGAGCAAATTGTGACCCCAGCCCGTGAACCTCCGTGATGTTTGTTAAAACACTATATATGCACACTTCTTTTTCAACACACTATATATTACATGCAGCTAGTGTTCCATACAACACAAGTTCCTTCTCGTGTATGTTACGTCACATGCGCGTCAATTCCGCAGGTTTTACAATGTCTTTCATCACGAGGTATATTTTGGTAACGACCATATTCGAACATCCGTCTCTGGGATGGATTTTTTATGGTAGTTAAATATTGTTCCAATTCGTATTTTTTTTTAAATTTACAGTAAAATGATAGTTTTGTGGAATTGGTTATTTGTTGTTTCCAATGTGAAATATAGTTATTTTTATGTTGTCTAATATTATATTTACTTTCTCACTTTCGATAAAATTCCCTAAACCTATTGGTTCCTCAAGTGTGGGATAATGGGCTTTAAGTGTTTTAACAATGTTAGAATAAAACGATTTTGTTTAATGCTTAATGTTTAATGTTTACAAAAATTGACAAAAAAGATTATATGTTGCATTACCTGCAAGTAGGCAAGCTAGTCGTGGCAGGCAATGAATTTAAGTGTAGGTAGTTTAAGTAAGTTTAGAAAAATATTTTTACAAATAAGTGAAGGAAAGTATATAAAGTTAATTGATTATGAAAAATATTGTAATTTTAAATACAGTATTACAGATCTAGCATTACAGAGAAAAGGCAAGCAGCTGAAACATCCTTATCTAGTATTCTATTTCAAAAGATTTTTAAGGTAATTTAAACCATCATAGTTACAATTGGCAATCTTGCTATTATCATGGGCACATCAACATAGTGATTCTCAGTTGTAAGAATTGTAAAGAGGGCCTGGCACATTTTTTGTTTAAATATCTTTTTACTTTTTGAGCGAAGGCCCTGGTCAATACTATTCCAAATTTCCGCACCAAGTCGAGAAAACGAACATTTCTGAAGCTCTAGGCGAGAATATTTTATATAAAAATTATCTTTCTTCGCCGCTCTTGAATTATAATTATGAACCTCAGATGTTTTTTTTGAAAAGTTCTTGTAGAGTTGTTGGCGAATCTCCAGTTGATATATCGTATAACATGTTAGCAGATTCTTTGATATACATCATATTAATAGGAAGAGAATTTGAAGAAACAAACAAGGGAATTGCATGATTATCAAATGATTTAAAATACATCAGACGTAAAACGCGTTTTTGTAACATAAGAAGTTTCTTAATGTGAAACTTGGCAGCATTTCCCCATGCAGACAGTCCATACGAAAGATAAGGTAAAATTAAGGACCTATATATATCTAGTACGGTATGATTTGGAATAAAATATCGCAATTTTGAGATAATCCCAACATTTTTACTAATCTTTAATGCAATATAGTCAATGTGATGCTTCCAACTTAAGTGGCAATCAATAATGATACCAAGATACTTTATATATTCTTTGCATTCGAGTGGTGTGTATTGCTTAGAATTATTATCATACATGCTAATTACTGGATGACAATTTACTGATTTCTGGTGTGGGCGAAAAATAACAAAATTTGACTTTTTTATATTAAGCGTCAGTTTGTTGGCATTAAGCCATTTGCAAACATTATTCAATTCAGAATTTACAACAGATTCAAGTGTTTTCAAGTTTTTATTAGCATATAGTAGGTTGGTATCATCCGCAAAAAGAAAAAAAATTAAAAACGTTTGATGACTCAGAAATATCGTTTATGTATATTAAAAAAAGTAGAGGCCCAAGGACTGATCCTTGAGGTACTCCACACAAAGTGGTTTCTCTATCAGATACACAGTTTCTAATCAGAGTTGTTTGAGAGCGTTTTTTTAAGTAGGAAGAGAACCAGTCATTTACCACTCCCCTAATACCGTAATGATTTAATTTACCCAACAGTATATCGTGGTCTACCGTATCAAAGGCTTTCTTCAAGTCTATAAATATACCGCAGGAATAAAGTTTATTATCCATGTTAGTTTGGATTTTGTTAACAATGTCGAGAATGGCATGTTGTGTAGAATGTTGTTGACGGAAACCATATTGTGAGGGACACAAGATATTTTTCATATTTAGGTATTTGTCTAAACGTTTATACATGATTTTTTCAAAAATTTTATTAAATACCGATAAAAGGGATATGGGTCGGTAATTATTCGGTTCAGTTTCATCCTCCGCTTTGTAAATTGGAATTATTTTCGCAATTTTGAGTTTATTAGGATAAATTCCAGTTTCAATCGACCGATTAAAAATATCTGCCAAAGGTTTGCTCAAAATATGTTTTGCACATTTAATAATCCTCGAAGGGCATGAGTATAAACCCTCAGCTTTTTTGGTTGGTAGTGTGATAATTTCAAGTTCAATATCTCTTTCAGTTATCGGAATGAAAACAAATGAATCTAGTTGAGATGTGTAGTTAAGGCTATTTGTATGTTGAAGGTAATCAGAATAATGTTTTTCAGAATGTGGCATTTTAGCAGCTAATCTTTGTCCACATGTAGCAAAATGTTTATTCAAGATGTTAGATATATTTTTAGGATCAAATGTTAACCGAGAAGTAGGATCCTGTCGCATGGCACCAATATTATTTTTATTATTACGGCTACGTCCTAAAATTTCCCTTATTCCTTCCCATTTCTTACTCATATTTGTGTGATTCAAGTCGAAATATTTTTCATAGTACAATTTTTTGCTGGCTCGGAGTACAGTAACAATATAGTTTCTATATATTTTATACTGAGTTACATTATTTGTGTGAAATAACTTATTTTTAACTTTAACAGATGCCCTTAATCCTCTAGTTACCCATGGCTTGGATAATTGTTTTGCTTTACGCCTAGAAATGGTCTTGATAGGAGCATGTTTATTTATTAGTTTATTTACTTTATTAAAAAAAGTCGAAAATAACTTGTTAGGATTATTCTCTGGTTCCATTACGACAAAATCCCAATTTATCTCTGCAAGTTCTTGGTTAAATAAAGTATCGGAGAATGATGAATAGTCACGATATTTACGTTTTTGGATGTTTTGTCTGACGGTAATGGAATCTAGGATACAAAATTGTGAAAAATGATCGCTTACATCAGATATTGTGTTCCCACTAACTAACACATTGGAAGGGTTATTAATAAATATGTTGTCAATTAATGTGGCTGATTCCCCATGGACGCGCGAGGGTTTATCGATGCTAGGGATCATTGAACAGCTTTGTAAATATAATAAAAAATTATGTGCATAATTACACCTATCAAGTTTTAATAGGTCTATGTTGAAATCACCCATGATAAACACATATTTGCCTGTTGATGTGTATTGCTCTAGTTTTTGTTCAAAATACGCTTGGAATGTCTCAGGTGAATTGTGTTGTCTGTATACGACACAGCATATAATATTTTTCTTGCTAGGAATGATAATTTCAATCCAAAGCGCTTGATAAGCTGTATTAGCAGATTTTTCAATAACAGTATAACTAAATTCATTATTAATATACATTCCAACCCCTCCAGCAGCTAAAGGGGTTGGAACAAATTCAAATTAGTAGTCAGGGATGCTGTAATTAAAACCGTCTAAGTTGGTATCTTTAATGCGTGTCTCGGTGATGCCAATAACACTAAAAGGAAATTTCAATTCGTCTAATATTTGAACTTGTAAATGTTCTAAGTTCTTTCTTAAACTACTTACATTATTATGAAATAAGGAGAAATGATTATTTGATAAACGATGATTACCCTTTTTGATTTTAGTAAAATTCTCAGGAGAATAGTATTTGCAATGAATATGGTGGTTCATCACATTTTGATCGGGGTTAATATTAGAATTTGATCGTATATTTAGATTAAATACGTCAAGATCATAAATACTTCCCTTGTAGAATCCGACATATTTATAACCTATTTTATACCTATTTTTTCTCTATTTAGCCCTATTTTTTCCGTATTTTTTCAAAAATATGTCTATTTTATTACTATTTATCAAATTTCATAAAATAGTATATGACTATTTACACCCTATTTAAAATATAGGTTATATATATTTTTCAAAAAAATAGCTTTGAAATAGATATTCAAATCCTATTTGAAAGAGTAATTGACGGAATCTCACTATAAAATAGCTTTTAAATAGCTATTTAATTCCTATTGATGACAAACGAGTCAGTTAAAATAGTTTAAATAGCTATTTTTAAACTATTTTTGCATATCTTCTTTGGAGCCATTCTTAACATAGTTATTAAATAGCAAAATAAATAGGTCTTAAATAGCTATTTGATTCCTATTCATAGAAATTTGTGGCGAACTTTGTTCAAAATAGCTATAAAATAGCTATTTTTAAACTATGTTTGCTTTTATTTTTGGAGATATTATTAAGTATTGTTAAAATAGTTATTAAATAGGAAAATAAATAGATCTTAAATAGCTATTTAATTCCTATTCATAGAAAGTTGTGGCGAACTTTGTTCCAAATAGTTATTAAATAGCTATTTTTAAACTATGTTTTCTTTTATTTTTTAATTTTTAGAGCCATTCCTAGAATAGTTATTAAATAGCAAAATAAGTAGATCTTAAATAGCTATTTAATTCCTATTCATAGACAGTTGTAGCGAATTTTGGTCAAAATGGCTATTAAATAGCTATTTTTACACTATGTTTACTTTTATTTTTAGAGCTATTGTTAAAATAGCTAATAAATAGCACAGTGCCTTTTTTAAGGAATTTTTACTAGGGAGGGGGGGGGGGGCAAAACAGGAAAAAAGGCAGAACGAAAAATATGACCCATCGAAGTTTGGCGAACACGCGAGTCAGTGAAGAGAGATTTTGTAAAACTTTAATTTATTAACTTCACCTATATAGACAATAACTTCAACCCTTTGTAGCTATAATCGTACAGCTATAACCAGTGGCGTAGCCAGACCTTAATTTTTGTTGTTTTTTTTTTGTGGGGGGGGTTCGAACAGTCTAGGAGGGTCCGGGGAAATTTTCAAATCTAGGGTCCCTGAATTGCGATTTCAAGCATTTTGGGAGTGAAATTCCGAAGAGTTCAGAAGATTATAAAGTACATCGAAGACATGAATTTTTCCAGACATTTCTACTCGGAATTAAATAAATTGGAAAAGTCACCTTGAGGAGACTAGGAGGAGGGGTCAGTGTCACCTTATTTCCTCTCTGTGATGCTGGGGGGGGGGGGAATCCCTATGTGATTTTGATCAGAAATGTTGCATTTAAATCATTTTCGGTTCTATGAGACACCATTTCCGCATTTCCGCATTCTCAAACTAAATCTATTCTCCTTGGAAACAGCATTTTATTGGATTGTTTGCATGAAATCTATCGCTATTATGAAATACTCGGTGAAGAACAATATGAATTACACACAAGATAGCTGTGGAGGAGGCTATGGAAGGGCATAATCTCATTATCAAGTAAATCAACTGCAATTCTGACAGCAATCATGAGCAATTCTGCTTCGCACTTCTGGGGCAGAAATGGCTTTACTGGGGGGGGGGCATTCTTTCCCCCCAGATATATAGTTAAAAAAGGCACTGAAATAGCAAAATAATTAGATCTTAAAAGCTATTTATTTCCTATTCAAATAGAAAGTTGTGAGAATTTAGAAAGGATAAATGTATTTATTTAACTGGTCAAAATTTCCCAGTTTGAGTTAGTTAATTTTAAATTTCTCATCAGTTCATTGAAATTATATTTACAAAAATATTTATAGTCTTTGTGGACTTTGTGGAGGTAGGTATTTTGTCTCTTGACAAAACAGCATTTTTGACAAAACACCATGCCATGAATACCACCAAAAATTCTCACAACGAGCGCAGTTTGACAGACTGGTGCCTAATTTTCTTACAACGCGCGCAAAGCTTTCTGGGATAGCGTCACAATTCACAACGCCATATTTTAAAATTTTTTTGTTTTAAACTTTCCGCTCGAAATGGCTCAAATACAGAGCTTTTATTGAGCGAAAGTGTTACTTATTGTAAAGATAAAAGGACAGGGATGACTGTGTAACATCCAGGTAAGAATTTTGTTATGTTTTATATATAAATAGAGAAATTTTGAAAGGAAATATTTACTATCTTCATTCGTGAATTTTGAGCACTTGTTCCGGTGTCAAGCGAAATTCCTGACCTCTGCTAAATACCTGACCTAGCGTGACGGGTCAGAAATTTCGCGCGTACAGGCGCGAAATACATGACGCTTGCTAAATTCTAAGTCGGCCAAAACTGTTTTTTAGAGTTTAGATAAAATAATCATGATGTTAATTTCTAATACTTCGTTAATTAAATATTTCAAATCGACATCGCTAAGTTTCAATCACAAACACTTTAAATTTCAAAGCGAATTGTGTGGTCGATCGTGACCGCGAAATACACGACGTTTGCTAAATACGGTCGGTCGAAACGATTTTTAATCCATATGCGATGTTACCAAATGTTTCTATAGCATAGACATCGCCAAATCTAAACGGCCAACTCATGAACTTCGAACTCATCGTTGCTGCTTACTAAATAGTGAGAAGGTCAAACGCGAACCGATTTTTAGTGCTTATAGTATAGTAATGCATATACGGCATAACCTTTGAAACTGGCGTCTATTTTATATCATGCACCAAGATCGCTTTTCGAGTGATTTTTCCATATCAACGATTCAAGGTTTATTATAACGTTCACAATCAGTGGTATAGTGTCAATTCAGTTGATCAATTGTAGAATTAATGTTGGAAAATTTATGTATAAATAAAATGGCTTTATAAATACACGTGTTGTCTGTTCAGTTGCGAAATTTATGAGCCAAAGTCATTCATGCGCATCGTCTGCGAATGGGCAGTTCTACAATAGTCAGATATTTCGCAAGTCAGGAATTTCGCGTCACACCGGCTTAAAATTTCAATTTGCTGCGACAATATTTGAATTAAAACAACATTAGTTTTATAGAATGGCTTACATTTGACTCAGCCTATATATTTATAAATGATGTTTATTGTAATGCCAAATAGTATACTTTGATCTTTGTGTATACTATAGTGTATGTGACAGATTGCCAGATTCCAGTGTTTGTTGTATAAAATAATTAACGATATGGAAATGTCGGACGAATATCCACTTCCATAAAATAATATAGCTTGACATGATGGCATCTACTCAATTCTCATATGCCTACCCAGACATGTCCCAGCTAAACATGGTTTGAGAAAATTTATCGACTGGTTTCAAATTAACTGGTACTTTTATAAGTTTCCAATATTTATTCATATATAGGTGGGTGAGTTTAGGATAGATAAAAATATCAATTTAATGTGTTGTTGTCATATGTGGCAACTTGATTATAGATGTGTCCCTAACTGGAAACAGTTAAAGTCCTTAGTTTGCTTGTTCAAACTTATGAATACATTTAGTTAATACACCACATGTTCTGCTTAATAATATATGTAACAACCTTTGGGCTACATTTTATATATTTTAGAGACACCCAGTGGCGTAGCCAAGGGGGGGCGAGGGGGGGGCGATCGACCCCCCAATCGCTTCTAAGACCATTCTCGCGAAAAGTCTAAATCCGTATAGCAGTTGGGGGGGGGGGGTACGTTTAACGAAATCCAAACTCACAATATAATTATGCCGTTGAGGTATGGAAATTATAGCTACCCAAGTTTGGGTAAAAATATCGAGTGCGCAAATCTGATATAATCATTTATGTCTTGGGAGCGCTGAGCTGGTATTTATATGCTTATATACAAGGTGTTAAAACACGCAAACCATTGAATTGGCAAAGCTGCGCAAAAGCAATTACTATAACTGTCAAAACAATTTACTTAAGCTAACATACTCAAAAGTACTTAACAGATTAAATCTGGGCGAGTCTACTTCCTTAGTATTATCCAATCATGTCATCGCGAAAACTGAATAGTAAATTATAATATGCGCGGAATTTTCTTGCGTGACTAGCGCAGACTATTGTATACATGAAAAATGGCAGAAGCTTCTGTTCCTCAAGATCTTTCGTCTTATGAGTACGAACCTTCCTGTCCTTTGCCCAGTGGAAGAGAAGCCAGGGACCACGTTATAAGCAAAGGACCTTGCCAGCCAAGAGATATAAATTTTCCTTTGGATAACCGGAATCGTAAGTTTCTAGTATCGTGGTATGAGAAATTTCCTTGGTTAGAGTATTCTGTCTCGTTGGATAAAGCTTTTTGTTTCGTCTGCAGAGTGTTCAACGCACAGGTGAGTTAATTGTGTGATTTGCGCTTTAATTATTTTCCTAAGTTAGTCCTAACCTTGTTAAGTTGTTTACACTTATTGCGTACCGTTTAATTTGCAATTATACATGGACCATGGCCCTGGTAGTGTTTAATTATATATCAAAATGCGATGTGTAATACTCAATACTGTTGTTTTAAATAATTACTAATTATCGCAAAAGTATGAAAAGTTCCACAAACAAACTATAATTCATCCTCTCTGTATCGTCAAATAGTTGATATGTATTATAAAAATACAAGAAACGCTTCTTATATTATGACAACGTAAAACAATGACATTTGTCTTCTTTGCATGCAGACGTCGTCAAGGAGTGAACCTACCTTCATCAAAACTGGTTTTAGTAACTGGAAAAAGAGCGAAGTCTTCGCAAAGCACGAGAAGTCAGATTGCCACAAGCATTCACTTCAAGCTCATCGTCACTGGAAATCCCAGAAGCCAATACATCATCAAATAGACGAAGAAAATGAGAGACAAGAGTCATATCGTCAACAAAATGTACGTATTGCCATTTGCCAAATATATATAACTTTGACAGGCCATCTGTGCACAACATTACAGACGAAGTAAGCGTGTGAAAACGCCAGTTTTGCATAAAAATGTCGGTGATATGGTGGTAATCCTGGTAATACGTTTATTCCTAAGAAACAATTGAGTGACGCGTATAAAGTTAACACAGTTAGGATTTTTTAAAAATTGTATCCTTTTATTTTCAGGTAAAAAAGAACCGAACTGTAATTGGTAAGATCATTGATGTTGTTCGACTTCTTGGAAAACTGAATTTACCATTTAGGGGACACCGCGAGGATAAGAATTCTTTAAACAAAGGGGTGTTTAAAGAATTTCTTGAACATATAGCAAAGTCTGATTCTCTTATTGAAGATCATTTACGAAATTCTGCAGGTAACTATATCATTCACTGGTTCAGTAACGTTAAGGTTACTACGAATTTTCGGTGGAATATAGGGATATATGAAACTGCATGATAATAGAATGGAATAAGGAATAATAAAGATAAACTGAAGTCGTAATTATGATAATTCTGTAATTATTTCTTTTTATCGATTTCAGAAAACGCTAAATACACTAGCCCTGAGATCCAAAATCAGTTGATCAAGGTGGTTGGTTCAGCTATATTAGACGACATCATACGTCGTGTCAAAGGAGCCGAGATGTATGCAATCATTGCAGATGAGACACCAGATCTTAGTAAAACGGAACAGTTAGCTGTACTTGTTCGCTATGTCTGGAATGGAGTGATAGAAGAACGTCTTTTAGCTGTAGAACCTATGGAAGAAACCACAGCTGAAGCGCTTTTCCATACCATCCGAGAGAAATTACAACAGTGTGGGATAGAATTTTCAAACATGCGTGGACAATGTTATGATGGTGCAAGTAACGTGTCTGGAATCCATACCGGACTGCAAGCACGCATCAAAGAGATTTCCCGTCAGCAATTTACACACATTGCTATGCTCATGTTTTAAATCTGGTCATCGTGGACACAATGAGTAACAATAGTATAGCAAGAGATTTCTTTGGAACGTTGCAAAATCTATACGTGTTCATCGAAACTTGCACAAAACGACATGCTGTGTACTTGAAACACCAGAGAAAGTTGAATGCGTCAGATGATGAAGGAAAAAAGAAGCGTGAGTACGTTCTGAAGAAATTGTCTGATACAAGATGGGCATGTTGGGCGGACAGCATCACCGCAATTTACCACACACTCGAAGCTGTCATCGCGACTCTAAAAGAGATCAGAGAAAATGAAAAGAAGGCTCACATTGCAGCAGAAGCAAAGGGGTTGTTTCAGAACGTCTGTGATTTTGAATTTGTTTTGGCTTTGGAGGTACTGTTTTGATGACAAACGTACCGTGATTTATATTTCATTCATTTTTATTTTTAATGAAAATTTAATGATGTGAGTTGATCATTTTTATTAAGGTGCTGAAGA